CACTTGAAAAAACACGGGGGTGCTTAACTTTTTTCCAGGTGTATATTTGTCTATTTATCAGTCGTTATTAGATGACTACCATAGATAGATGGGCCAAATCTTTATTTATTTATTTTGTGTGTGTTCAGATGTTCAAGGTTCGCATTTTGCACAATTTTCTTGTGATTTATATAAAACTATTTTAATCTTTATTATCCAAATAAAACCCCATTGCTTGTGGACAAACTAAAGTAATAATTAAAAACAGTGTAATATAATCTATGCTCATATTACGAATAATGTAATAGAGAATGAAATAAAAGTATTCGTGTCTGAGATTTAATATTAAAGTTACTCTTAGTAGAATGTGCTTCTCCCAATTTATTTCTGGACATAAAAGGTATAGAAACACATCTACAGTTTTCCGTTCATGAAGTTTACACAAAAATACAAGAGAGAGAGATATCTTAGCAATATGATGTTTACGAACAGAGAGAGAGGGGAAGGCAGAATTGAAACTAAAAAAAAAGAGTAGTTCCATTCAAAAATAGCACGGAGTCGAGAGCTAATTATTGTATATAGCACTTTCATTCATACTGACAAGTTCTTAAAATGAGGTAGGTTGTTTCGTAGAACCCAGCTGTCATTCCTTTTCTACCACTGTTAAACACATCTGAGACGAAAAAAAAAAGAGCTGAATTTCCAGACAGTGATTTCTATCACAAAACCTAGGTCAGGTTTAACTATGAATATTAGACTTATAGATGCGTGTTATATTATGCCAGATATCTGTAATTTAGAAAAATAACACATAGAAGGAGTTAGTAATTATTATAACGATATTTGCCCAAAACATAAAAAAAATCACATATTAATTTAATTCAAGCTAATACTTGGAACTAATAGATATTTGTATATATGTTAATTTGTACGTAATAAGTTATCTGATTAGTAAAATAACTTAAATCAAAGCTAATGGTAACTGCAATTCATTGTTTAATCTGGTCCATACCAAAAACAGTCACTGTTCATGAAAGTTAACAATATTTATAACTCCACTACTATGTTTGTCGTATCCCAACCAGTCTGGTATTATGTGAAAGGCCTCGTCAGTACTGAATATGACAGATGTCGTGTGTTTGACATATTACAACATGTTCTATTTTGCTTTCACTCATGGATTTTTAGAATTACTTACCGATTAACAACTTACAAAATAAAATCAAACTATGTGAATGGTCATAATATACTTGTAGGCAACAGAAGAAGCACATTAAAATATTCTGTTTCTCTTTTCTTACATAGACTAGGCGTGACCTGATGGTTAGTGTGCCCGGACTATGAATCAGAGGATTGACGGTTCGCATCTGTTGCCGCATAAACGTGCTGTAAACAATACAAGATTGACGTTCTAGTCTCAATAATCGGTCAGGCAAGAGTAACCAAAGGTTAGCGGTAGGTGCTGTTGACTAGATTATTTCAACCTAATCTATCAGTTCAAAATTAGAGATAATTGTATAAGTAGAGTTGTTTAAACGTTATTTTAACAACGAGTAAAAGTTTGGAATGGTTATTCTTTCATTGAGGGTGTGTCTGTGAGCCAGACTAGTTTCGGAGAATTCCACTCCTCATCAGTGATTCTGGACACTACCACCAATGAAAGTTCAGACCAAACCAAGTCTTTATAGTGGCGGATTGCTACAAGTTCTTCAAATACCTACAGAATGATAGGTTTCTTTTTTGTGAGTGTAAAACACTTAAATACACCAGTTCGAAAATTAGGGATAGTTATAGGTAAATAGCCCTTTGTATAACTTTGCACGAAACTTTTAAAACAAAGAAACAGGCTCTTTTCATAAAAACTGAATTAATGTACTTAGAATTTATATATCTTTAAATGGGGTTGAGTAGTATGTATTACTTATATACACTTATCTACACACCGGTTAATTTACACAAAGCCTTGCCTTAACCAGTTTTTAATTTTTTTTCAAGAAAACTTTACTGTTTCTCAAATCGTTAGTACCTAAACAAAATATATTTTAACTTATTAACCTCAACACCCACAAACTGGCAAAAAAAATCTCTCTCCCTGTCATAACGTTTCTGATAAGTAATTAACGATGCATTTTTATTTCTTTTTCTGTCTAGTAGGCGTGTTCTGCCAGTTCACGCTCACTCCGCTCGTTCTGGTGGTGCGAAACAATTCCTATACATTCAAGGCGCAGTCCCCACAGAGCGCTTCCCTAACAGATATTCTGTGCCAGTTGGGTTGATTATACTTCTCTGAAAGCCAACGTTATGTAACGTGGGATTCATTTCTTCTACTCCGACACCCTTTAAGATCCTGTTGTTCTTTCACTTTTTGAGTTGTGCTATGACAATCAGAGAATGAAAAAGTGATCTCTCAACATTCTGGAATTTTCTGTCTTGTATTTTTGTTGGATTAAATATAGTATAAGAAGTAAGTACAATGCATACAATTTTTACAACTTTTTTTGGATCTTTTCTTCATTATCGTTAACATATCACAAGTCAAAAATTTCTAGTTCACCATAATTTCCAACGTGTAAATAGTCCACCTTTTCTCCACCATAATTTTCCAACGTGTAAATAGTTCACCTTTTCTCCACCATAATTTTCCAACGTGTAAATAGTTCACCTTTTCTCTACCATAATTTTCCAACGTGTAAATAGTTCACCTTTTCTCCACCATAATTTTCCAACGTGTAAATAGTTCACCTTTTCTCCGCCATAATTTTCCAACGTGTAAATATACACCTGGAAAAAAGTTAAGCACCCCCAAATATTTTTCAGGATTGCTTATTGAAAATAAGGTT